CCTTGCTATTGTGAACAAAGGCGCAATAAACATGGGTGTGCATATATCTGCTTGGCTGGCAGTTATGGTCTCTTTAGGGTATATTCCCAGTAGTGGAATTGCTGGGTCAAATAGTATCTCTATTTGCAACTTTTTGAGAAAGCGCCATACAGCCTTCCACAGTGGTTGCACCATTTTACACTCCCACCAACAATGAATAAGGGTTCCAGTCTCTCCACAACCTCGCCGGCATTTGTTGCTAGCTGTTCTGTTAAATTTTGCTATTCTTACTGGGGTGAGATGATATCTCATAGTTATCTTGATTTGCATCTCTCTCAGGGCTAAGGATTTTGAACATTTCTTCATGTGCTTGTTGGCCATCTGAATGTCTTCTTTGGTGAAGTGTCTGTTCATATCCTGTGCCCATTTTTCTATTGGATTATTTACCCTCATCTTGTTGTGGTGCTCGTATTTTATAAATTCTATATATAAGGGGGGACATTTTTTTAAGTGATACAGCACCCTTCTGTCAATATGTTGTACTGAGGTAACCAGGGGTTGTCATGATGTTGAACTTTGTGCCACTGGGGTGTCAAATGGCATAATAGTTACCCATGGTGGACAGTGTTTTGTGGAGCTCCCAGTTTAGGACAGGTTTGGAAGCAGGAGTGGCATCCACTTCCTAAACAACAAGCCTCTGCAAACTCTATGAACTTTGAGAAACAATGATAGGTATAAAAGGGCTTCAAGTCTTTTTTGTTCGTAGGCTTGCTATGAGTTGTGCTTGACTTGATGGCAATCAACAACGACAACAACAAGTCAAGTCATGAGAGTTTCTATTTCTTCATATGTATGTAAAAGTTTGGCAGTAAATAAGAAAGACAATAATAATTGAGGACTTTTAGCAGCAGCATTTGTAAGGAATGTGTAATGTACCATAGATGTCCCAAACAACAAACATAGCTTCCTTGGAAGAAGTACAGCTGGAGTGTTCCTTAGAAATAAGTATAAGGAGACTTCATCTCTCATATTTTGAGGGGCTAGTCCCTGAAAAAAACATTATGCTTAAATAAGTGTAGGATCGGTGAAAGAGAAGAAGACCTGCAATGAGGTACATTGACACAAGTCTGTAACAATGAGCTTTAGCGTAGAAGATATTGTGAGGATGGTGCAGGGTTGGACAGTTTCATTCAATGACACTCTAAGCTTATGTCCAAGAAACTTGAAACCCACAACAGAACTTACACCCATACAACTGATGATAATTGTCATATTCTCAATAACAATAAATAGAAACAATTTAAATATTTACCAACTGATGAAGAATAAATAGTATGGCTACTTACAGTTAATAGGACATTATTTAGCCACTAAGAGAAGTAAAATCCTAATACATGGTTGAGATTAAGAGTACGCTGAGCAGATAATCTCATTTATGTGAAGTAAGAATAATACAGAAATTGAGGGAGAACAAAGATTATTAGTAATTACCTGAGTCAAGAATGATAGGAAAGAAGAATTCATTATTAAGGAAGCATTGAATTTGTTTATGGTAATGGAAAATTTAATCACAGTTATGGGTGAATGTTCAACATCTACAACATGAATGATATGATTGACATCATTGCATTATGAACCTGATTAAACAAATGTTGACTTGGAAAATAATGTGTTGCACATACATTTTACAATAATAAAAAAGAATTCCATGAAGAAGGGCAAGGGGAGAAATGTGCATTTCTAAAATGTTCAATGAAGCTTTGGTGGCTGAATGGTAGATTCCCCTTTTACCATTCTGGAAAATCATGTGTAGGATTTCTATGAGTTACTGGACCAGCCTACAGCAAGAACAAAAGCACAGATTCTGGTATGCTTGGCCAGGAGTGAAACTTTGAGATCATCTGCTCCATATTTTAGGACAAGACTGAAAATAAATCAACTTTTGGGGGAGAAAAAAGGTGACCAGAGCCCACTGTTATGAATTAGAACTCTTAAGCATTCAACCACATCATAGAAATTCCCTGCTCCTAATCCTAACTTCTGTTATGTGTGCCACATTTTCTCCTCCTCTGTTCTCCTTAGTTGCAGTCATTGTTAAATGCCATAGACTCAAATAGTCTCTTAGCAATCATATGAACAACAGATATGAAACCTATCCTATCCTGTACCAGGTGCATCACCTCTAACACCCTTGAGCCTATTGTTGCAGTCACTGAATTAATTTTTCTCATTGACAGTCTTCCTCTGTAAGTATAACACTTTCCATGGAATAGTCTTTCCTAGCAACATGTCTAAATATGTGAGACAAAGTTTTGCTGCCCTAGGCTCTAAGAAACATTCTGGCTGCACTTTTTCCAAGACATATCTGGTTGGGGGACTTTTGGCAGTCCCTGGGATATTCAGTGATCTTCTCCAACACGTTATCCTTGATAACAGCTATGAAGTCTATTACAGATCATGAGTACTCCGTGAGTTACACAGTAAAACTGACCTGTAATCTTTAGGGAAGGAGATCACCAGAGATTCTGCAGTATTGCTGGATGGGTTAAAACTATCAATCTTTAGTTAAGCAGCCAAACTCAAACCATATTTGGCACTTCATTTATTCCACTAAATTGTATGCTCCACTTAAAACCCAGAGTCAAGTACTGTTTCTGGTTTTTAAACTATTCTCATTACTGTTATCCCACAATGCTCAATCATTCTTCCTTAAGAAGAATCATTCTTTGTAAGCACATCAGTCTTCTGAGGACTAGCAGATATACCACAACATTGTTTTTCTTTCTATAGCATGAGCCTAGTTTATCCTAAATACCATTTTCTTGAGTCCTCTATTGTTCCCTGTGGCCTGAAACACCAATGTCTCCTACCTGGAAAATTATACACACTCATCTCCCCTATTACTGTCACCCCAGCTTCAATGTCTATTTTTCACACAGTAGCCATAGTGAACCTTTAACTTATGAATCAAATCATGACTCTTCTTTGGAACAGCACTCCATTTTCCTCCAGTGACCCACAGGCCTATGACATCGACCCCCATGGCCATTCTGACCTCAACTCCTGCATCCCTCCCCCTAAGTCCTTAAATTCCAATATTACCCTTTGAGTCTTGAGCCTACTTCCCACACTGCCACTTTTGCATGGACCAATCCAGCCTCTGAGAACATTCCCCCCCAAAAAATTCTTATCCTCTCTTCCTTACTCCCTCCAAATCTTAGTTCATATCTTTCTCCCTTAAACACTCTGTTGAATGCTGCTGCCTTTCCACACCCCACTTTCCATTGCAACCTCCTCCTAGTGCTGCTCATGCCTGCTCTACATCATTGTGCCTCAGCACGTCTTCTATAGCAGGCTATATTGTTTTGCTTTGCTGGTTTGTTGTGTTTAATATTCACTGCCTAGTGCTAGAATGTAACCTCTAGAAGACAGGTAATCTGTCCAGTTCTTAGAATAGTGTCTTAAATATCATGGACTCTATAAATATTTAGAGAATGAATAAATTAGTGGAGATGTGCTTGTTCAAACACTAACAAAAACTTGACATAGAACCAATAACACCCATGTCTTTTCCATGTGTTAGAGTAGATTTGTGCTCCTAGGGTTTCAATAGCTATTCATCATGTAGATCACCAGTTCTGAACAGTAGAGTGAAGAGGATAAACCAAAACATGTTACAAAAGATATTTTCACCTTTTGTTATATTTAGTTTCTAAACTATCAAAGCTAAAAAAAAAAAAAAACTATCAAAGCTGTGTTTTCATGGGACCGTTATTATGAATTCTTTACCATCATTTCATGGTTTGGTGAATTTTTTTAATAATTTAATCACAGTAGTAGAAGCACAATAATCTCTCTTTACTGGGGCTCCCATGCTCTCCATCAATCCTGATGGAGAGAATCAGCACTTTGCCTGTGGCTTCCACACAAAAGAGGGAGATGTAGACAGAGGTTTTGGATCACTCACCTGGGGACCCACATGGCAGCAGCTGAAGGAGGAGCAGCAGAGAGGTGAGATAGCAAAGAGCAGAGTAGCTGGGGTTTCCTCCCATTTCCTCGGAGCTAGGAGAGACACAGGACAAGAGTCAAGGGTGACCATCAGATGGCAAGCAGCTCACCCACAGCTCATCCTCAGAGGGAACAGAGGATGTTCTACTTTCTTGTCTTGCTAACAGGATGTCTAGCCACACTTATACAAACAAAAACCTAAGCCTGTCTTCTCCCAGCTGTTCTAAGAAGAGTCTTAGATGTCAGACAAGGTTTAGGAAGAACCTGAGAAGAAGGTGCACTTCCATTCTCACTTTGCTATGTGTCCACTGCAGCCTCACTGCCCAGACACCAGTTCTTCCTTTCTTCCTGTGACACTGAAAAAGATCCTCATTCCATCTCCAGGATTTACACAGCCCATCACTCAGCCTAGTTCAGATGACCCTAATGTTGCCCCTCAGTGACACTAGACAGAGTAGCTCCTACTGCTCCTTATTCTTTCTTCCCAAGATCTCACCAAGTGTCAGAAAGAGTAGATAAACTCAGAAGATTGTGACTCCACCCACAGATCCCCTGACATGTTAAGACTGTTTAGTTCACCTACATTTCAACCCATCGCAGCCCTTTCTATTATGAAACCAAGAATGAATCCTGCGCGAGCCTATGCTCCTTAATTCTCTCTTGTGGTTAATTCATCTCCTCATCCTTGAGAAAAGATTTCTGACTGAAAACAAAGGACTCTGGTTGGAAACAGAACAGGAGAAAAGAAAAAAGAGCTGTAGTAAGAGAAAAGACATCCCCCCTCAAAAAAAAAAAAAGAAAAAGAAAAATTAAACCACCCACCACAAAGCAATTGTGGATGGGAAAGAGGTCCATCATATAGCAGAGCAAGCACAAACTCTAGAGTTCAAATGCTGGGCTCTCCTGACATGGTTTATCATCTGCAATATGTGGATTGAGACAGAGTCTCATCCTGTAGTTTTAATGAGAATTACATGTAATGCAACTAGAACCTGGTACTAATAAGTACAAAAACACAATCTCTGATTATCCTTAGTCTTCTTAGAGCCAGACCATTACCTAGCCCACATATTCACTCCCTCTGTGTGTGTATCTCTCTGCCTTTCTCACTGTGTCTTTCTCTGTCTCTCTTGCTCTTGCTTCTTCTCCCTGGTTCCTCAAAAGGCCCTCAAGTGTCTGCACAGAAAACTCACCTGCTTCACTTTGGAAAACTGTGACTTCTTGAAGTGTCTCTAAACTCAGCAACATGAGACGTTCAAAGCCACAGGGACCCCAGTAGACTCCAAATCTCTCCTCAATTTTCCCGTGGAGTAAGCTGCTCAGCGAGCTCAATTTCCAATTCAAGATCAATCGCTGTATTCCTAGATTCCCCCATCAGAGGCAGGTGGTTCCTAGAAGATCCATGAAAGTAGGGTTGGACCTGGTTGCAGAGATATGTACAGAGTCTCTTACCCTGGAGACCCTGCCAATTGCTCACAACCAGAGTGGTCACCTGTTCTCTGGTACTGCTTCATTTGAAAATGAAACTTTGGGGGAAGGAGCCACTTGCCCTCTGGAACTTGCTCTTTGTTACCAAGAAAAAAACAAGATTAGATAAGAGCAACAGAAAGGAAAGAGAGAACACACAGAGACATAGAATCAGGTGCAATTTTTCAGCACCTACTGGTTGCCTCCTTCCTTTGAGAAGCAAGGATTGTATGTGGGCAGAGTCAAGATTAATAGCATGCAGTTATTTGCAATGGTTACCAGTTCCTAAATGGTTTAAACAAACAAAAAAAGAAGGTAAGTTTCAACAACTAACAGAAAGGTTGGCTGTTTGAAATCACCTATCGTTATCCAGAAGGCAGGTCTAGTAGCTTGCATTCAAAAGGTCACAGCCTTGAAAACACTATGAACCTTACTTTCCCTTTCACATTAACTCAGTACAAATCACAATCAACTTGAAGGAAACTGAAAGCTTTGTTGATGTGTGTATAGTCTGGATCTACAGGCTTTGAACACAAAATATTTCTGTTGACAATTGAGAAATGGAAACCCCAAGTAATATTGCTTTCCTTTTTCATGACCCACAGATGATCCTGGACCTCCCCAGAATCTCACAACCAAGGAGCTGACAATGAATTAACATTGACAACTCCCAGGACCTGCTTCAGGTGTACAGCCCTACCTTTCTTAATAAACAGTATGCTATGGATAGGTAATATTAACACACTATTATCATACATTTCATGTATTAGTCTCCCTCATTGTTGTAGATTTGGAATGGACTTATAATTGATCTTGATATTTCCAAAGCTATAAATCACACAGGAAGAGATTTTCCATGTCCTTCTGAGGAACTAATGGTGTTGGGTTTTTTTCCCCTGGTTTTTGAGGTGAGTTTTTTAATGGTTTCTGTCTAACTTTATTTCTTCTTTCTAAAACACAAGATATAAAGCTAAATGTATGTATCAATGAATATGTAGGTTTTCCCCCACAAATTCAATATATGAATGTCCTTCCATTGCCTTATTGCTAGCTAAGTCTGTATATTATGTTATACATACAGGCATCCCTCATTGTTGCTCATGATAGCACAGAACTTTTTGGGTTTTTTAATTGATATTTTAATGAAAATTTATAAAGAACTTGGGTTTCCAATCATTCATTGTTACACATTTTCCTCCTTTCCTCTCCTCTCCCCAAAATCACTTTTTTCTTGGGGGAAAAAAAGTTCTTTCACTGTTATACAATATGTCCCTCCCTGCCCCCTTTGCCCTGACCACTTTGCTATGCAGTTCTTATTCTGGGCTCTTGTCATGCAAATAACACCTAATCATATAATCCTTTTATACAGTTCTCTCCCTTATCTGTTTCAATGCCACGAACATTATCCCCTCTTTTCTTAGTTTCCTCCCTCTCTCCCAGCCCTCATGTCAGTACTGTTTTATAATAGTGGCATTATGTCTTTTTGTGACTGAGATATTTCAATCAGTATAATGTCCTCCAGGGTCACTCATTTTGTATAATAATTCATGAGTTCCTTCCTTTTCAATGCAGCATTGTATTCCATTGTGTGAATATACCACAGCTTCTCTATCCATTTATTTGTTGATTGGCACTTGGGTTGTCTCCAACTCTTTGCTATTGTGAACAAAGCTGCAAAAAAAACATGAATGTGCATATATCTACTTGGGGGGGGGGGCAATTACAGTTTCTTTAGGGTATATTCCCAGTAGTGGAATTGCTGGGTCAAATGGCGTTTTGATTTGCAACTTTTTGAGAAAGCGCCATACAGCCTTCCATAGTGGTTGCACCATTTTACACTCCCACCAACAGTGAATAAGCGTTCCAGTTTCTCCACAACCTCGTCAGCATTTGTTGTTTGCTGTTCTGTTAAATTTTGCTATTCTTAATGGGGTGAGATGATATCTCATAGTTGTTTTGATTTGCATCTCTCTTAGAACTAGGTATTTTGAGCGTTTCTTCATGTGTTTGTGTGCCATCTGAATGTCTTCTTTGGAGAAGTGTCTGTTCGTATTCTGTACCCATTTTTCAAATGGGTTGTTTACCTTTATCTTGTAGTGGTGCTGCAGTACTCTATAAATTATAGATATAAGCCCCTTATCTGATATGTCATTACCAAATATTTTTCCCCAGTGTGTGGCTTCCCTTTTACTCTGTTAGAGAAGATTTTAGATATGCTTAGGGATTTGATTTTTAGAAGCTCTCATTCATCTATTTTTCAGGATACTTGGAAGACTATTTAACTTGTAGATGAGGGCTTCTAGGGTTCTTCCAAGCTTTTCTCTAATAAAGTTTATAGTCCTCAGTTTTAGTCCTATGTCCATGATCAACTTTGAGTTGGTTTTTGTGTATGGAGTGAGGTGTGTGTGGATCTTGCTTGAGTTTTTGGCAGATAATCTTCCAATTTTGCCAATACCATTTGTTTAAAAGGCTGTTGTTTCCCCAGATAAATGATTACATATCCTTGTCAAAAATCAGTTGACCATAGGTAGATGAGCTGATTTCTGGATTCTCAATTCTATTCCATTGATCGATGTGTCTGTCACTGTACCAGTACCATGCTGTCTTGACCACCATGGCAATGTAGTAGGATTTAAAATCAGGGAGTGAGATGTCTCCTACCTTGTTTCTCTTTTTAAGGAGTGCTTTGCTTATTTGGGGCCTCTTTCCATTTCAAATGAAATTGGAGATTACCTTTTCCATGTTGTTGAAGAATGGAATTGGTATTTGGATTGAGATTGCATTGAACGTGTAGATTGCCATTGGTAGTATTGTCATTTTCACAATATTGAGTCTTCCCACCCATGAGCAACGTATATTCTTCCCTTTATCCAGGTCTCTTTTTGTTTCTTGTAGTAATGTTTTGTAATTTTCTTTGACTAGATCCTTTGTGCTTCTGGTTAGATTTACTCTCAAGTATTTAATCTTGTGATCGGCTGTTGTGAAGAGTATTGTTTTTCTTAGCTCCAGTTCTATATTCTCTTTGTCACTGTAAAGATATCCAATTGATTTTTTTCTTTTCATTATTAAATTTTATTAATTTTAATGAACATTTACAGAGATTTTGGGTTTTCATTTATTCATCGTTATACTATTTTCTCTACCCTCCTCCCCAGTTCCTTCTTTTTTTATCCCCCCTTGAAAGTCTGTTTTAATTGTCCAATTGCCAAAGTGCTTGTCAAAGCCAATTCTGATTAATCTCCTTTGTCAGTATGTCCTT